TAGTTGGTGACTATTTAACAGTTTTATCTAGGTGTGGTTTCTTATACACATACAAGTGTGGATAGTTATTAAATTGTGTGGGTAGTTATTAAATTGTAGATATATTATACACACACACACACACACACACACATATATGCTAGAGGCCCGGTGCACAAAATTTGTGCATGGGTAGGGTCCCTAGGCCTGGCCAGTGACCAGGATGCTGGCCGGGGCCTTCCTTCTGGCTTCCAGCTGCTGGTTGGGGCCTTCCTTTCCCAGCTGCTGGCTGCTGGCCTGGGCCTTCATTTGTTCTGTGCCGCCCCTTGGTGGTCAGCACATGTCATAGAGAGCAATCAAATTCCTGGTCTCCCAGTGGAACTCCTGAGGGGACACTTTGCATATTAGCCATATATATATCTCTATATCTCTATATCTCTCTCTATATATGATAATGGCTAGGGTGGTCTTCTCTACAAATTTTAATATGTAATGCATACATATTTTATGAAAGTAATTCACCCAAAAAGTACTAAGTAGTATGTGTAGAAATTGGATGAAACTACTAGTGTTTGCTACAGTTTTTTGGTTAATCAGTGAGTAAATGGATTTAGAGAAGGACACAAATACTTTAAAAATAATAATACGACTACACAATTTTTGAATTCATTCATCTATTAATTGTTGCGTATCCACCATGTGTTAGGCATGGGGCTAGAAAGCTGACAAACACACATGCAGGAAACTTCATTCCTACCCTTTGATTACTCAGAATCTAGTGGGAGAGACAAATATATAAACTAATTACAAAATAGTATAATAAATGTTGTAATAACTGGATTTACAAGAGATCTTCTCTGCCTGGTGGTGTTGAAGAAGGCTTCTTAGAGGAAAAGATGATTGTGCTGCCTTGAAAGAGAGGCAGGCATTTTCAAGGCTGGGGGAGAGCATTCCACAAAGAGAGAAGACTGTGAGCAAAAGCCAGGAAGTAGGGAGGCTGAGAGAATATGGCTTGTTTGGAGCCCATCATTCCCCCTGCAATTAATGCAAATGCAGTCACATTTTACAGGAACAATGCATTTCTGAAGATCTCACATAGTTCAAGATTAACCTTTCCTTGGGAATAAGTATAAAAGTATGTGAGAAGGTATATTTGGAGTCCATAAATCTACAACAACCAAAGTAGATTCTTGCTTCCTTTCTTTCTTCATCTTTCTCAGCATTATTACTAATGTTTTGCAGTGTGCTCTCTCTACACAGGCTATCATGGTGGTACTTAGACTTTTTAATATTGTTTACTTGCATCTAAATTTTGTCCCACTTTATTTCTTTGTTTTTCAGCACAAGCAGTAATCATACTCCTTAGCACTCTGATAACATCATTATCAGATATAAAAATATTTTAAATGATAATAGTAGTGAATGTTAAAAAAATAATAGCACAACAATAGCTGTATGTCTCAAGAATTTCTGAGATAAAGAACAGTCTCACTTACATGGAAGCAGATAATTTACCAGGTATAAGAGACACTTCCATGTGGCAGTAGTGTTAACAGTGCACAACTCACTTTGCTACCATTTTGAGATTATGTCATTTTAGATAAACTAATTTGGAGCTCACATATTTCCACTTTGCCTATAAAGTGAGACTATTATTATTATTATTTTTGTCAATTCTAACCCAAGGACATTTTTTCCATTGCTTTTTAGAGAGAATGGGAGGGAGGGAGGAAAGGCAGGGGAGAGACAGAGAGAGAGAGAGAAAGAAACATCAATGTGAGAGAAACACATTGATTGGTTGCCTCCCTCACATGCCCTGACCAGGCTGGGGCTCAAACTTGCAACCAGGTAAGTTCCCTTGACAGGGAATTGAGCCTGAGACCCTTTGGTGTGCTCGCCAACACTCCAACTACTGAGCTACATTGGCCAGGGTGAGACTATTATTATTTTTTAAAACATGTTTTTATTTAGTTGAAGGAGAGAGAGAGAAAGGGTGAGGAATATATATAGAGAAACACTGATGAGGGAGACATGGACAGGCTGCTTCCTGAACACCCCTTACTGGGGATTGAGCTGGAAACCTGGACACATGCCTTGACTGGACTTGAACTGGACTGGAACCAGCGACTTCTTGACCTCTTGTACACGGGACAATGCTCAAACAACTGAGCCACACTGGCCAGGGTGTGACTATTATTATTATTATTTAAATATGTTTTTATGAGAGAGAGAGAGAGAGAGATAGAGAGAAAGAAAGAGAGGGGAATATATATATAGAAACACTGATGAGAGAGACATGGATAGGCTGCCTCCCAAACACCCTTTACTGGGGATCAAGCCCAAAACCTGGCATGTGCCCTAACTGGGAATTGAACTGGTTACCTCTTGACCTGTCATGCATGGGACAATGTTCAAATAGCAGAGTAACACTGGCCGGTGTGAGACTATTATTTTTATATTACATTCGTTGATTCTGCCTAATTCAAGTCACATAAAATGCAACTTGCAATGAAGTTTGGTTTGACTAAAGCTTGTAAAGGAGAGTCGGATTATAGAGACCTGTTTAACTTAACTAAAGAATTTGCAATTTTTTTTTCTGAAAAAATACTGCCTTACTTCAAGTAGGAGAAAGATGTGTTCAGATGTATGTTTTAAAAAGTCAATAATCTGGCAGCAGTGTAGAGAATGGATTTGATGGGTAAGACTGGACAAAAGTTAGAAAACAACCTTAGAGGCAATTTTAACAGTTAAGGGAAGAGTTGATGAGCCTGTATAAACTAAGGTAGTACCTGTGGGGGATGAAAGGAAGAGGATGGACTCATGAGAGGTTAACAGCAGGATTTTTTTTTTAGCTGATCGGTTGTGGGTCGAATGGAAGAAGAAGGAACTGAGGATGACTTTAAAGTTTCTGACTTGAGCAATTTGTTGAGTGTTACCTCATTAACTAAGAAAAAGAATAAAAGAGAGGCTTGAGTGGAAAATAATTCGTTCAGTTTTGCAAATCTAAGAGAGAAGTGTCATAGGAATCCAGGAAGAAAGGAGCTTCCGGGAGGCGCTGCTTGAAATCAGATACTGCAAAGCCCATAATTTAGATACAAGTTTAAACTTGTTCATTGAATTTGACAATTAGGAAATTTGGGAAAAGAACAGTTTGGGGAAAGTGAGGGTACAAAAGGCAGGCTGACAAAAATCTAGGACAGAATGGGATGGGAAAAAAGTACAGACAATGAATACAAACTATTCTTTTAGGAAGTTTGGCTATAAAGTGAAGAGAGAGGGTGGTAGCTATTGGGGGATAGATAACTTGCAAATTTCAATTTCTGGCTCCAGATGCATTGTCCCAACTGTAAGATATATTAACGAATTACTTTCCCAAACATGTCCAAATGATCTGTTCAAAACTAAACCTGGAAGTCCTTCTTGACTCCTTTGCCTAATATTTTTTGAAAAAAATGTTTATATTACTTTTTTTAGAGAGAGAGGAAGGGAGAGGGAGAGAGAAACATTGATGAGAGAGAAACATCAACATTGATTGGCTGCTTCCTGCACTCCCCCTACTGGGGATCAAGCCTGCAACCATGGCATGTGCTCTGACTGGGAATTGAATTGGTGACCTCTTGGTGCCTGGGTCTACTATGCTCAACCATTAAGCTGCCTAATCTTTTCTCTGTCTCATAAATACTGTAGATTATAACTCAGAAATGGATTTGTAATTTGGTATCACCCCTCCATCTCCATCCACACTGTTTTGTTTTATTTATTTAATTTTAAAAATATATATATTTTTTGATTTCACAGAGAGGGAGAGGGAGAGAGAGATAGAAACATCAGTGATGAGAGAGAATCATGGATCGGCTGCCTCCTGCAGGCCCCACACTAGAGCCCGCCACCCAGGCCTGTGCCCTCACGGGGCATCGAACCGTGACCTCCAGGTTCATGGGTCAACGCTCAACGGGAGAGGGAGAGAGAGAGAGATAGAAATATCAAGATAAGAGAGAAACATTGATTGGCTGCCTCCTACACGCCCCACACTGGGGATCGAACCTGCAACCTGGGCATGTGACCTGCCCAGATATCAAACTGTGACCTCTTGGTTCTTAGGTTGATGCTCAACCACTGAGCAACACCGGCCAGGCCACACTGGAACTGTTTTAAATGAAGCCCTCAACACTCCTTGAACTTTCTATTTTAATACTGCTCTTCTTGGTTTTCTTGCTTCCAGACTCTCCCCCACTACATACTATTGCCTGAGTTATCCCTGCCTTTTCCCCCCCTGTCAAGCCCTCTTTCTTTAAGTCCCAGCTCAAACATCTCCTCTAGAAAAACTTCCCTAACTCCTCCATTCCTAGCTAATCATTCTCTTCTCAGTACCCACCTTCCCCAATCCTCCCTCCTCCAGGCATCTGAAATAGCTCTTACATTGAATTAAGATTATTTTGTCCGTAACTGGTTTGGCTCAGTGGATAGAACGTCAGCCTGCGGACTGAAGGGTCCCAGGTTCGATTCTGGTCAAGGGCATGTACTTTGGTTGCAGGCACATCCCCAGTGAGGGGCATGCAGGAGGCCAGCTGATCGATGTTTCTCTCTCATTGATGTTTCTAACTCTCTATCCCTCTCCCTTCCTCTCTGTAAAAAATCAATAAGATATATTTTTAAAAAAAAGAGTAGGGAGAAGACCTTTCATAAATTTAAAAAAAAAAGATTATTTTGATGACAAATAGTTCTGCCCAGCTTTAGCCTGAATTTCTTTAAGATAACAAGTAATTCTCTTTTAAAAAATCTTCAACACCAGAAAAGAACTTACATGCAGTAAATAAATGTTTGCTATGATAAAACTTGTCACCATGAAAATAATGGATAAAGGGTTGGTAGAATTTTTATTTTTTACGATTTTTTTCTTTATTGATTTTTAGAGAGAGGAAAGAAGAGGGAGAAAGAGAGGGGAACATGATGTGAAATCACATGGATTGGCTGTCTCTTGCAGGCCCCTGACTGGGCGCAACGCAGGCATGTGCCCTGAGCTGGAATAGAACTGGCAACCTTTCAGAGCATGGTATGACACACAACCAACTTGGCCACACCGGCCAGGGCTAGACATTTTTTCTGTCTTAAAACTTTCACTCCATCTTAAAGCCAATGAGAAAAAGAAAATGGGGGAAGTCTAAAAGCAGGTTTTAAGATAGAATACTTTCTCTAATGTTCTTCCTCTTCTTTTGTTCCCTGGTAGTTAGTTTATCTTTACTTCATTCGAGTTTATTTTGAATTCTTTATTCTCTTGCCACTCTTTTTGTTAGATCTTGTACATCTATGATTACAAGAATAGTGTTCCTTTCCTCTTCCCCCAACTTTCCTTTTCCTTTCTCATCTGTGCTTCTTTGCTTTCTTAACTAAGCTATAAAAATTATAGTTTCCATTGGATAAAAATGTTTAAAAATATTTCATCTAAGATACTCAGATTATTGACTTTTTTTTAATTAAAAGAGTTATAAACCATCTTAGAAAGATCTTCTCAGGAAGATGCAGCGACAATTAGTTCTTTGAAATAAAAACAGTTTTAGTTATGCAAGCTTTGGAAACGAGCTAGATTCTAGCAAATGGTAGAAAATTATGATGGAAATTAGGCCAAATGTGTCCCAAACTTGTCTGGGGCCAGTCATTTAATGAGGAGGGTCTCAGTTTTCTCATTTGGATAAACAGGGAGTTGACTGGTCAATCTCTAAGGTTTTTTCCAGCTCCAGTATTTTGTAATTCTCGATTCTACATAAGTCTCAAGGAAAAAAAAAAACATTTATTTGTGGCAAATGCCCTAATAACCACTTCCTTATAATTCTAAAACAACATGTATTGATTGAATATTTATTATATGGCCATCATTGTTAAGCTAGTAGGAGTTTAAAAACATACTATTAGATTAAAAGTAAAAATGTTCCAATGCTGTGGAATAGTATGGGATAAAATGAGGAGCATATTACCTAACAATTTCCCTGAAATCAAGTGGGTAGTCGTCTTGCCAGCAACAAGATTCAAAACCCAACTTTTCTGTTCTGTAAATCACTTTGTCCTTGAAAATTTTGCCATCTTATTAATGTCTGTATGTGGGTGTGGGAGTAGACCTAGGTAAAGATTTAGGTAAAGAATTAATGATAAGAGATACAGAATTAACTGCTAAATACAGTCTAAAAGCCAAAATGGAACTGATGTAGTTGGAATGGCCTTGTGTGAAAAGGAAAATGGAATGTAATCTTAAAGGATGCTTAAAAGTTAAACTGATGGAAGAGCATTTATGTGATAATTAAAACAACAACGTTGTGGTGGTGGTGGTGGTGGTGGTGGTGGTGGTGCTGGACTGAATGAGGCCATACTTTTTATGCTAGAGGACACTCCGGCTGCCTTGTGGGGAACACAGGGTAGGGTGGGGTTAAATCATGGAGGGCTTTGGAAGTCATGCAGAGCATTTAAATTTAGTTTCGCAGGCAATAGGGAAGCAGGTTACTGAGCTGACAGTGCATTCTGAAAGAAATTAGAGACAGGTTATGAAACTACTATAAGAATTGATGTAGAAATTCCAGTAAGAATTCATAATATTCATGGAGGAATAATATGAACAAATCAGATTTTAAAAGATATTTTAAAGGAAGATTAATTTGAACCCGAAATAGCTGCATGTAGGCAAAAAGAAAAGAGGATTTTTAAGGGTGTCCTAATTTTTGTTATACATACTTCAAAATAGATATTTATTCAGCCCCTTTGTTACTGTAAAATAAACCTCTTCTGGGGAATTGTATATTGTCCAACTGTTGCCCAGCCTAAAGGTGCTGGGGCAGCTTCCATCAAGATGCTCAACCTTTGGCAAATTTTGTGTTTGCTTTTAAAATAATTGATTCGGAGCTGAGACTCCCTTTAAAGAAAAGCTTATCTATGTTGTCATTCTAAAGCAGCAGCTCTCAGGTGGTTCATGAGGTCAAAGTTATTACCATAGTAATTCTAACATGTAATTTGTCTTTTTCATCCCCATTCTCTCAGGAGTATACAATGGAGTCTACCAGAAGCTACATTCTGTCTGATATTACAGAGATTGCACCAAAAGCAGATGAGAATGCAGCTGAGAAGGCAGACATTAAAGAGATTTGTAAAAATAAAAAAAAGTCACTCTTTATAGTTTTTTTTAGTGATCTATAATTTAAAATGTTATTTATGCTAACATGTGATGGCTTTTTGTTATTTTAAAATAAATTAATAGGTCACTATTTTTAAAATTTCTCAGTTTTAATTTAAATACTGTAAATGACAGTAATACAGTAGATGACCTAGAGAAAGAAAAATACTTCAGGGTCCTTAATAATTTATAGATATGTAAAGAAATCAGGAGACCAAAAAGTTTGAGAATATTTGCTCTAAAGTGGTACTCTCCACTGTTTGCTAAAAGAGAGAAAGTTTCGACTCTGGCTTTGCTATATTCCGTATGTTGTTACTGACTGCCCATCAAAACGATGTCAGAACACTTAAATTTCTCTCAATCGCTTTTCTAGCTTATTTACCCCTAATCGCCATGCTTGGGTTTCCAAAGAAAGAGGAATGATATTGCTTACCTGTGCTCAATCGTTTCCTAGACGAAGAAGTGGTCTGGACGGTTTCAGGTCTCTTTCTTTTCAGGAGGCTGTGTAGAAAGTGACAGCCTCCTCAGCAGGCAGCGGGGAATGCAAAAAGCATTGAGAATCACACTCCTCTCTGCTCATTCGTGCCAGCCCGTCAGAGGAAGAGGGAGGAACGAGGAAGAAAATTGGAGGGAGGAGACTTGGCACGTCTTGGACCCGCCTTTAACTGTGGGCTCTCTTAGGGCAATAGAGCTTGAAATAAATTGTCAGAGAATGTGGGTATTTCTTTAATGTACAACCATTATTTTAATGAAATAATTTCTTCTGTAAAAGTTGGAGTTCTGACTGCCCAAAGTTTGTCCCTCTTTCAGAAGTATATCCAAGCAACTTTAAAAAAAGCATCTGCCAATTGGAAGCATCTTTTTTACATTAATCTGTTTAAGACTTTCTTCTTGTACTCAGCACAAAACTTTCTTAAACAGTGCTGAATAATTAAACCTATTAGAATAATTCATGTAATGTAATTATAGCACCTAAAACGTAACTTTTGAGAAGCAGAATGTAAATATCACAGTCTTGGAAATAATTAGTAGAAACAAAGCTTTTTAGACAATTTTTTTTTCTTGAACATATGCTAAATCATACTACCTTGCTAGCAAGGTAATTAGCAAAGTGACTTTTGGTTTTTGCTTTTTTCCAGTACAGAGATTATAAGGAAACAGAGGGGTTCTAGAGTTAGGAAAAAAAAAATGCTTACATAGGCAGCTAGTTTTATTTTTTGTTTGTTGGTTTGGTTTTCAACAAGAGTGTTTTAATTTTATAAGATCATAAAAACATCATGCCCACAGTAGTGATTACAAAATAAGTCTATGGCAGGATGATGGGAGGTACTTGGAGTGGCGGTTATCAGAAGAAAAAAGTGCACATTTAAGAAGTGTATGATAAAAAAAGAGAGGAGTGCATGGTAAGAATGCACATATGATTGACATTGAGATAACGAGTTTTCATCCTCCAACTGTAATGTCCAATTGGGCCAGTCAACATGAAAGTATGAAGTGGAGTCAAACAATGATCAGTAGCAGAGGACCAAACAAGTTAATTTTAAATGGCTTATTGCCAATTACTTTTCTCCAACTGTAACAATGTAGAATGCATAACAACCTATTTCTTAGTTTTGGGACACACATTTTTTAAAAAATTTTTATATTTTATAGAGTAACCCACATGTTCTACCTACTTCATAGGGTTGTTTGTGAAGATTAAACGAGATGATGATAGCCCTTTGAATATTTTAAACCACTGGAAAACTATAACCCTCCACACCCTCTCACTTATTTGTACTCATTTAGCTTATGCAATGGAGACAAGATTTTAAAAGTAAAATAAAATGTCCATAGTGTTCTCTTAATCTGATGTAGACATTTATGTATTAGGTAGAATAATTTGTTCCTGGAAATATTTTAAGAACTAGATAACTACCTGTTTAGAGATCATACACTGTGAAGGCTGGGAGAGGAATTAGATCAGTATTCTCCACACTTTGGGATTTAATGGACCATAATAATAACAACAATAATTATAATAATGAAGAATAGATAAATGCTGAGTGGATAACTTTATATTTTAAGTAAGGACATTAAATTTTATTAAGTTTAAGATTAGTTCATGAAAGGACACTTTTTAAAAAATATATATATTTTATTGATTTTTTACAGAGAGGAAGGGAGAGGGATAGAGAGTTAGAAACATCGATGAGAGAGAAACATCGATCAGCTGGCCTCCTGCATCTCTCTGTAAAAAATCAATAAAATATATATATTTTATTGATTTTTTACAGAGAGGAAGGGAGAGGGATAGAGAGTTAGAAACATCGATGAGAGAGAAACATCGATCAGCTGGCCTCCTGCATCTCTCTGTAAAAAATCAATAAAATATATATATTTTATTGATTTTTTACAGAGAGGAAGGGAGAGGGATAGAGAGTTAGAAACATCGATGAGAGAGAAACATCGATCAGCTGCCTCCTGCACACCTCCTACTGGGGATGTGCCCGCAACTAAGGTACATGCCCTTGACCGGAATCGAACCTGGGACCCTTCAGTCCGTAGGCCGATGCTCTATCCACTGAGCCAAACTGGTCAGGGCTATGAAAGGACACTTTAACACCAAAAAACATTAGGAAGGACATAGTGTTAGAATAAATGGCAATTCTTTAAAGTAAATACATTGGCTTTATGGGATTTTTATTACTTTTTCCCTCACTTTACCACAGATGGGGAAAATTTCAACGTAGGTGGTTATCAGCTCTCAGACAATGATTGGGATCCTTTCAAGACTGTCAGTGACTGCACCACACTTATGTAGCCTAGTTTTACTGAGTGACTGATATTTCACAATATTAGCAAATAAAGTTAGACACATTGAGTATGTGTGTTCTAGGAACTTATTTAAAACAACTGGCTTTCCCACAGACAGCCAATAAATAAACATATACACGTAATACTGACAAGTCTGTATGACAACTACCATTTAAATAAGCCAAAGGGGGAAAACATTAAAATGTATGTGTTAAATATAATTTGCCAAGGTGTGTCAATTATTAACAAAAGTCGGGTCGGTATCCCCTCACAGAAGAGTATTTAGTCAGGAAAAAGAAAGGTCACAATCCCAAACGCGCAGCCACGGCTCACCACGGAGCTTGTCGCCTGGATGTAGAAGAGGAGGTAGCCCTGGCCGGTTTGGCTCAGTGGATAGAGCCTCCACCTGCGGACTGAAGGGTCCCAGGTTCCATTCCCACCAAGGGCACATGCCTGGGTTGCAGGCTCTATCCCCAGTAGGGGGCGTGCAGAAGGCAGCCAATCAATGATTCTCTCTTATTATTGATGTTTCTGTCTCTCTCCCTCTTCCTTCCTCTCTGAAATCAATAAAGAAATATATTTAAAAAAAAAAAAAGAAGAAGAGGAGGTACTTGACCAAGGGAAAGAGGAAGTCAAGGCGAGGGGCTGCCAGTGCCATGGAGTTCTGCGGTAAACAAACACAGAGCTCTTCCTGCAGGGCTTGTTGAAGACACAGGAGGTGAGGACTCCTCCTGCAAGTCCTCTCTATGCCAGCCCAGGGTAAGGCGTGGGCCATAAATTTTGACAGGTGTAAGATCGGGCACCCAGAATTTATGGGGGGGAGGGTGTCAGTGACCTTTGTTTTACGAGCTGATATCCTTTTTTTCCCCTTCCACATCAGCTAACTGGGCATGTTTAGAATATCTATCTTTGAAATTGCAGGGCAAAGTCGCCACATTAAAGCACCCAACAGACTAAGCTTCAAGGATGTGGGTCATGCATGCTACAAAATATATTTTTTTGAAAGCTGTCAATTAAGTGAACTAAACTCGTTTACACACCAAGAAAGTGATTTCCGAAGATTCCGTGATTCTCGAAGTTCTGTTGCCCCAAAGAAAAAGGGGTCAAGGGATGAAGGCTCTGATCAAGAAGTCTTGCTCGCAGCCAGGGGAACTCAGTATAAACCCTTCCGTCACCCCAACCACCTGGAATCGGATGTGAACGTGGCGGTGGGTGTCCTGTTTTGTGCTCCTTTTCTGCGACTCAGGCGGCTGGGCACAGTCTGGCCTGGCTCTGACAATTCTTCCATGTTCTTTCAGGGGAGAACAGTCTTAGATTTGTCTCTTCTTCTTCCTCAGACTGGAAAGCGGACAGAGATCTTTGTTTTATGGAGATTCCATGTCGAAGGGATGAGTGGGAGAGAAGCGGAGGGAAAAAGCCGCTTCCGGTGACTGAGCGCCCTGCCCGCCGGGCTCCAGAGGCTGCGGCTGCCGGTCACGTGACTGGCACGCGCTGACTGCTGGGAACGCCCAGCTCTGC